CCACCCCTAAAGAGGTGGGAGAGGAAGAAGTGGCCTTCCTCTTGCCTTGGCAAGTGGCCTTGCCAGAAATGAGGCCTTATTAATTACCCAATACAAAGTGGACAGTCCTGAAGCCATATATACATAAGTGACAAACCAGTGTCAGAAGAATGTACTTAAATGTTTGCACATCTATATATGCATATGTATGTAACAATAATAATAAAAAGAGACTATCACTTTGAGAGTGAGCATCCTTGAGAGTGAGCAAGAGGGAGCCCCTCATTGGAGGAGATGTAGGAAGGTGCTGTAAGCTACACATGCTTGGCCCATGCAAACAAATGCCACAGGCTTTCTCTCATATGCACAATCTAAACTTTATTTTTAAAACAAGATTTGAAATTGGAGGAGGATTATATAAAGCAGTACAAGAAGGCCATCAAGGACAAAGAAGAGAGGACAGGAGAAGGTCAAAGGGAAACATGCAAAGAGTCAAATCATGATATATATGAATGAAAACATCATCATTAATATGTACAATCAATATATGGTCATAAAAGAAAGAATTCTAGAATTGAAAATGAATGTGTCAAATTAACTGTGTGTGTGTTTCTTATGTATTTTTTTTCTTTTTTGCTCTTTTATTATTCTGGTTTATTTCAGCATTTTGTTGTTCTCTGCCTATTCATTTGCTTCAAAAAGAGAAAGAATATGAAAAGGTCTGGAATTGAGTGGGGGGAAGGTAGGAAGGATCTAGGAGGAGTTGAGAATAGGAAACCATAATTATAGTATATTATATAAATAAAAAATTTTAATAAAAGGTTTTTAAAAATAATTCAATAGCTTCATTTTGAAAAACACTTAAATAAAATAAAGGTTCTCCTAACACAAAATTTTACACCAAGCATAAATAGGGGAAAAAAGGTGTAAGAGGTTCAGAGTATGACAAACAGTCCAACATACATATGTGTTATGATCTCAGAGGTGGGAAAGGATATGGCTATAAAATATATGAAGAAGCAACAGACAAGAATTATTTCAAATTGATGGCACAGAGCAAGCCAAGATATAACAGATCTGCAAATTTCAGAAAGATGTATTGAAAAGAAAGCAACATTTATTCAGACCAAAGAGACAAATGAAAGATGCAAAACATCCACTCACTTCACAGGAAAAACAATGAGAACAACCCGCTTCACACTGAAAACCACTCAATGACATCATTAAAGTGCTGAAAATATTCCATTTTTGTAGCTGTACCATAATTTCTAGATCCATTCCTCAACTGAGAGGGAGCTGGGTTTTTTCCAGGTTCTGGCTATTTCAAATAAAGCTGCTACAAACATGGTTGAGCAAATGTCCTTGTTGTATACTTGAGCATCTTTTGGATATATGCCTAGGAGTGGTATAGCTGGATTTTGGGGAAGCGCTATTTCTAGTTGTCTGAGAAAGCACCAGATTGATTTCCAAAATTGTTCTACGAGTTTACATTCCCACCAGCAGTGGAGGAGGGGTCCCCTTTCTCCACAACCTCTCCAGCATGTGTTGTCATCTGAGTTTTTGATCTTAGCCAAATTATGGTACATCTACACAATGGAATATTACTCAGCAATAAAAAACAAGGAAATCATGAAATTTGCAGGCAAATAGTGGGAACTGGAAAAGACCATCCTGAGTGAGGTATCCCAGAAGCAGAAAGAAAGAGTATAGACAAAGGGTATATACTCACTCATAAGTGGATATTAGATATATAATATAGGATAAACATACTAAAATCTGTACACCTAAAGACTAATCAAGAAGGAGGACTCTGGCTAAGACTCTTGCTCAATCCTCATTCTGAAAGGCAAATGGGATGAACATCAGAAGAGGGAGAAAAAAGGGAACAGGACAGGAGCCTATCACAAGAGGGCCTCTGAAAGGCTCTGCCCTGCAGGGTATCAATGCAGATGCTGAGACCTATAGCCAACTTTGGGCGGAGTGCAAGGAATCTTATGAAAGAAGGGGGAAATAGAAAGATCTGGAGAGAACAGGAGCTCCACAAGGAGAGCAACAGAACCAAAAAATCTGAACACAAGGGTCTTTGCTGAGAGTGATATCCCAACCAAGAACCATTCAGGGAGATAACCTAGAACCCCTGCACAGATGTAGCCCATGGCAGCTCAGTCTCCAACTGGGTTCCATAGTAATGGGAACAGGGACTGTCTCTGACATGAACTGATTGGCCTGCTCTTTGATCACCTCCCCCTGAGGGGAAAGCAGCATTACCAGGCCACAGAGGAAGACAATGCAGCCACTCTTGATGACACCTGATAGACTAGGATCAGAAGGAAGGCGAGGAAGACCTCCCCTATCAGTGGACTTGGTGAGGGGCATGGGTGGAGAAGGAGGGAGGATGGAATTGGGAGGGAATGAAGGAGGGGCTAAAGCTGAGATACAAAGTAAATAAACTGTATTTAATATAAAAAATAAATGGAAGACCTATATGCTAGAGTACAGTCATATTCCAAAGCAACTTTCGTGAGCAGGACTTTGAGATATTCTTTAAGGTTTTTCATTAACCTTAGTACCATAAAATATTTAGTTCTTATCAAAATTTACCTTTAGTCCTTACTTTTAACATTTAAGTTGACCACATATAAATTTAGAAAACTAATAAAAGGTTGTATCAAGTTTTAAAATAGTATGTTAGCCAATAAGCACTTGAAATAAAGAAAAATATTGAATGGTAGGACTACTTTTCTTTGGATGGCAATGATCAAAGGATGCCATCACAACACCTATGGAAGAAAGCAGTACATGACTAAAAATAAATGAGCTAATGTATATTTTACACAAAGCATAACAAAGTATTCTAAAACTACTAAAATTCATGGCAAGTCCCTTAAAATCACTGAAGTATATTTAATGTACTACTTTTATAATCACAATTAAAATATTTTATATCAAACTGAATATTAAAGAAGAAATACATAAAAAGATATCTGAGGAAAAGGTTGAAATGAAGTTTAGAAATGTAAAAAAACAAAAAAATTTGCCAGTCAAAATACTAAAACCTCTAGAGCAGACATAGTCATGTTAAATTTGTTCACTTGGCAACTCTTTAATAAGTTGGTTAATTTAATGGAAAATAAGTTGACAAAAACCAGATGGCTATTATGAAGACTGTTAGATACAATGCAGGGATGTGGGTGTTGCTATGAGAAGAAAAACAATAAAATAAAAATGTTTATAAATTAATTAAATGTGGATGTCAGTGTCTCCTATTATATTCTGTTTCAAGTTACCAAGTATTGCTAGTTTCAGGTGCTGACAGAAGATACAAGGCTCCTGAGCAAGAGACAAAGGCTCATCATGACACAGGGTGCCAATCATCTTTGTTCAGTGTGCACAATACAGACCAGGCAGGTGGGGCCAATGGGTACTTGCAAACAATGGCCCCCTTATGGAAGAAAACATGAGTATCAGGGACCTGATACTCAAAGGGCAGTTAGCATGAGCTCTGGTTGAGGCAAAGGTATAATTTAAAAGTTGTTTGCAATAATATCATATTGAAAAGGAAGCCCTTGAAAAAAATGTGCAAGAGCATAAAATATTTCCATAGAAAACAAATGTTGGGAGTGTTTGCTCCAAAAATAAATCTTAAAAAAATAAGCTTCAAAAAAATTAGAAAGCTGAAAGTCTTAATGTCTAACAATGTATTTTATGTATAATAAAATGCAAAAACAGTCATGCATTAAATTAAATACATATATAATTCCTGCCTTTAAATCATTAAGCATATTATATTCTAGTTTGTTCTGTTAGTGCTGTTACTTCATCTTAATAATATTATACATATTAAATACTTAAACAGTCTAATTCCAGATTAATTACTTTGAGCTGTGACCAGATCATCAAGAATTCTAAATGTCCTTAGAGAGTGTAATGACAGCCAGCTTAGGAAGCCATTCTACACAACAATCAACCATTTCACATTTCATCCTCTGAGTTTGGGACATAGTGTACCAAAGTCAGTTATTTAAAAATGGTATATGAGGTTTCATTTGTTTCTAGATTATTTATATCTTCCATTTTCCAAGTATCATTAATAAACATAAATTCTGAGTGATAGAAAAAAAATGTTACTTATGGCCAAAGAAATGGCTCAGTGGGGAAAGGCACTTCCTGACAAGGTTCAGGCTCAAATTCATCTCAAGAACATACATGGGGAAAGCTGACTTCTGAACATTATCCTTGGCCCTCATGAGGATACCGTTGACCATGGCCATTACATGACATCTGATAACATGTGAACATGCACACACACACATGCACATGCACACACACACTGTTTACAATGTTCTTATGCAACACCACCATTTACAGTGAGTACACACTAATAAAATTTTATAAATTATAGTATAGTATAGTGGATATAATTATATAGTTACATTGTACTTGTATATAATCTATGTGATATTATAAAATTACATGCTATAAATTATAAAAATTATAATACATTCCATAATGCTGTCCTAAGCCAAAACCTAACTAATACCTCTACTGAATGAAAATCTCAAGCTCCTGTTCTCATCCACTTGCCTCCATTTCTTGCCTTACCCACACAGAAACTTTGCCTTATTAAAAAACTTGACATTTTAAAACTAATCATATGATTAATTTTACCTGAACCTTAACTATTCTGTATTCAATATTTCCATTTCTTGGTCTGAAGCTATGGATCTTCTCCTTTCTGATTATTTTTCCCTGAATCTATCTTCATGAAGATTCTTTTTTCAAATGTGATATTTGTAATCTCTAGAACTTTAGTTTGTGAGTTATTCTTTTTGCTCTGTCATTCATCTACTGATTTTGATCAATCTACTTTTCATAACATATAGAAAATAGTAATAAGTATAGCTTATCTTACTTTGCTAGCAATTCTATTACTACATAAAATTTTAGAGAGTTCTAACAGCTTGGTGTTGCCTATAGATATATTGTATAAAAAGAATAATGTCTTGTTATTAACAAATCACCTGATAATGACAAGGCCCAGGACTACTGGCAACCTCTTTCTTAACTGTGATAAAACGTTGAGGGACAGAAGAGCCAAATCCAGTTTTCTTTGATTTCTTCAAGGCCTTTTGTACCTTGGCGATTACAATGTTGCCTGAGATATCGTAACACCCAGGACCTAAAATTATAAAGAATATTATGTGTAAGAACAGCACAGACAGAGGAAGAAGATCCAGGCAATCTTGATGAGGTTTGATAGGCTAGGGTTAGATAGTAGAAGAGGAGGACTCGCCTTTTCAGTGGACTAAGGGAGAGAATAAGAGGAAGAGAGAAGGAGGAGGAAACCAGGAGGAGATGAGGGAGGGGGCTACAATCAGGATACAAAGTGAATAAATTGTAAAAGAAAAAATAATAAAATAAAATAAATTTTAAAAGAATAAGCACATTTTTAAGAACTTTTTGGAACTCAGTAACATTAGGTAATGTTTTTAGAAGGAGGTCCATATATTTCTGGCCAAAATACAATGACTTAAACACTTTTTTAAACTAATCAAAGGTTTACAAGGTTAACAAGTAAATATGAATGTCAGAAACATGCAAAGAAAGCAGTGACAAATTTCTAAATGATTCTACTTATATTAAAATTTAGAAAATTTAAAAATCACAGGCTCAGCACAGCTGCCTGGAGGACAGGAACGGAGGTGGACATTAATATCAAAGACATATGTGAGAAATTTTAAAGAAAGACGGGACTGTTAAAAAAAATTGATAATACCAACAGTTGCCAGAATAAAAGAAAGCTGTCAGTTTGACACTGTTTGTAAGCCATATACCCTACTGAGCTACAGTGACCACTCCAGGAAATCACTGACAAAAGAAATCTCCAATGTGCTAAGTAAGAGAATACTGAGAACTGTAGTAGCCACATTCTTCCCCAGGGACAGTATCCTGGACTTATAAGCAAAGCTACCAAAGGAAATTATTGCTTCCATAGTGATTTTTCACAGCCTAAGTTATCTAAACATTCTCCTCTTGCCTTCACTAAAGCTCCCCTAATCCCTACCTAATGAGACATAAGTACCTTTACCTGTGTTCTAGTTTGGTTTCTGTTGCAGTAATAAATAAAAACATTAGCCAAAGGCAACCAGAGCATAGGAACAATCATATTGAAACAAATATAAACAGTTCAGTGTCTGTCATCAGATGTTTACAGTCTTCTGGGATGCAGAGGGAGTGAGCAGCTCCACTTCTCCTGCCCTGCTACTCACACACACAAAGCTAGTCTTGTAAACTTAAACTGGCTCCACGCCACACCTTCCACTGACTTGATGGTTACCCCACACTCCTGGCATCTCCAGTATGGTGAGGTTCCCACTGCAACAGGAGCTGCCTCATCTGGGCTCTCCTCGTGGATTCAAACCCAGCTTTAAGGTGCTAAGATTCGCTTCTCTCCACGACACTATCAATCCTGCAGTCTCCACTATAACTGAGGTCACACCTGTGTCAATGGTCCCCTGGCTTCTCTGCTGGGATTCTACTTTCTAAGATCCCCTTTATGCTTTTCAAACCCAGTAGCATAAGTTCAGCAACTAGCCTGAGATGCAGCCTTGACTCCCTCTAGACCACCTTGTCTGTGTGATGACCCTGAGAAAATACTTCTCAGAATATATCACCTCACTGATGCTGCTGATTCTCCAGGCACTGCTAACCGGAACCAGTTGTCCCAGTAGAGCAAACATTCCACTTCTAGATAGTCCTAATCCAAAATTTTATACAACTACTCTTAATATATTAAACATATAATATGTAATAATCATACTAAAATCTGTACACCTAAAGAAACTAATCAAGAAGGAGGACCCTGGGTAAGATGTTCAGTCCTCATCCAGAAAGGCAAAGAGGATGGATATCAGAAGAGGGAGTAAACAGGGAACAGGACAGGAGCTACCACAGAGGGCCTCTGAAAGGCTCTGCCCTGCAGGGTATCAAAGCAGATGCTGATACCTGTAGCCAAACATTGGGCAGAGTGCAGGGAATCTTATGAAAGAAGGAGATAATAAGACCTGGAGAGAACAGGAGCTCCACAAGGAGAGCAACAGAACCAAAAAATTTGGGCACAGGGGTCTTTCCTGAGACTGATACCCCAATCAAGGACCATTCAGGGAGATAACCTAGAACCCCTACACAGATGTAGCCCAGTTCAGCGTCCAGGTGGGTTCCATAGTAATGGGAACAGGGACTGTCTCTGACATGAACTGATTGGCCTGCTCTTTGATCACCTCCTCCTGGGGTGAGGGGAGCAGCCTTACCAGGCCACAGAGGAAGACAATGCAGCCACTCTTGATGAGACCTGATAGAGTGGGATCCGAAGAAAGGTGAGGAAGACCTCCCCTATCAGTGGACTTGGGGAAGGGCATGGGTGGAGAAGAGGAAGGGAGGGGAGGTTTGGGTGGGGAGGTGGGAGGGAGCTACAGGTGGGATACAAAGTGAATAAACTGTAATTTAAAAAAAAATTTTTAAGAGTCTTTGCTTCTTTCTGGAACTTCACAAGCCAGGCTTCCAACCTCTCCATCTCCCTCACCATGCTTGTCTTGCAAGCTTACATTAACTTCTGAGCATCCAACAGCTTTTTCTAGCTGAAAGCTCTAAAATCCTCCCCCAAAAAACACAAACAGGCCCATCAGACCCATATCCCCAAGATCTTAGTGGCAGTTTTCTCCTCTAGTTTGGTTTTTCCTACTGTGATAACACACTGAGCAGCTACACCTACAGGAAGGAGAGGGTTGATTTGACTTACAGATTAGCAGCATTATGTAAAGCCAACCAGAAACTTAAAACAGTATCCTGGGGGCAGGAACTGAAGTAGAGACCACAGAAGAACACTGCTTACTGGCTTGCCTCTCTTGGTTTGCTCAGCTATATCTGTTATAGGGCCCATGCCATACCCAGGAATGGTACCACCCACTGTAGGATGGACCCACCTATATCAAGTAACAATCGAGAAAAAAAAAGGGCTCATAGTCATGCCCACAGGCCAATCTGGTAGAGGCAATTAATTCCTCAGTTGAGCTGCCTCTCCCCAGCTAAGTCTAGGGTTGTGCCAAGCTGGCAATAAAACTAACCGAGAGGACTAGAATCTGGGCTACCTCAGTATCAATTCTAATTGCTGCTTTGCTTAACACAGCACAGACGCCTCTTTGAATGACAGCTAACTAATACACTTATTGAAATCATGGAACTATATACCTAAAATTATTTTATTATGTATAAAATAAACCTCAGAAGAGAATGTATGACCAAATTACAGAGCTAAACAATATTAGAAGGTTGGTGTAAAATGTATTTAACATGCAAAAAAAAAATCATCTATCATCTGATTTTCCTGTCATCACATTTATTTTTCACTCCTTCTTTACAATAAAAAACTACAACTCAGAGAATTTTCTATACTGGTAATCTGGATGAATAAAGTTTCACATATTTTTCATTCAAAATAGTATAAACAACTTTCTATGGTGTTGAAAATTTTTTTAAGAAGACAGTAAGATACTTGAAATAAATATTCACGTGTCTTCCGTATAGTTTAGGTTTTTGTTTGTTTGTTTTTGTTTTTCAAGAGAAGTCTGTTTGGGTAAGCAGATATCCATTAGTGAAGTAGGACATATTTGAATGAGTACCTTAAGCTATGTGTGTTCTATTAAATTGGCTCTGTTACTTTATCTTACTAAAACTTTGAGTATATTGATTCATCTGTAACATAGTCAGTACTTATATTTTTTTTTACTTTAAACAATACCACCAAACAGAACTTAGTAAATTGAATTCTCTCATGTATCCATCCTGTTAAGGATAGTAAGTGATATATAGTCAGAGTAAAAGTTTAACAGCAAACCTGGCATTTCCTGTGCCTTGGAGTCCTGTTTGAATCGGGTAGCAGTTTGACCAAATGATGAATTCAGTCCTGACTTTTTATTTGGTAACTTGAAAGAAGTTCTTATTTCTTCATATGTGCCAGGAGCTGGGGTACTTGATTTGATTGGTACAAATCTCTAGGAAAATGTGCCAATGAAAAACATAAGTAAGATTCTATATTTCAGCAGTTAAAAGCTGACTTCTGAGTGATGCAGCATCAACACTATATTTTTTAATGTAGTGAAGACAATAAAGATAAATTAAGATCTTTTGATCATCGAAACATAAAATACTAACATAGCTTTTGGTAAAGTCACTGATATGCCAATACAGTTATGTACAGTGTGCCTGATTTTCTTAGAAAGAAAAAAATGCTGAAAGGAAACTCTTAAGTGCCAGATGACACTTTATGGATGCTTTTAACTTGTAAATATTCCTCGCTAACAAAGACATATATAGTCTAATACGGTTTACGTTATATTTACGTTATATTTGTGTGTGTGTGCATGTGTGAGGAAGCACGCACGCGCGCGTGTGTGTGTGCCTGTGCATGTACAAATGTCTGCATGTGAGGCAGAGATCAAGTCAATGATCTTCCTCAATTGTCTTTCCACCTTAATTTTTGACACAGGGTCTTTCATGAACCTGGGGTTCACCTGTTGGCCAAACTAGCTGGCCAGGAAGCCCCAGAAATCCTGTGGTGTGTGCCTCCTGACACTGATGTGGTCATACACTGTGATTACCCCTACATTATGGTAGAGGGGATAATTGCTCATTTGATTCAATGGTATTTTTGTTCTAGAAGATTTTTTAACCCTTTCTGTTCTTGTTGATTTTTTTTCCATTTTTGAAATATGAGGCACTGACATGCTTTCAAGAGAGAAACCATGCTTTTTTATAAGGTTCAAAGAAGCATTTGCTGCTGCTTCCATTTGTATGTGAGCTTGCCACTGTAAGGAGTGGGAATTCACAGTGTAGATTTTCTCTTTTCCATGTGTTAATTCACCCACAGGGTGGCTGATTTCACATTACCAGCATAGCATCAGCCAACTTGCTGAACCCCTGGAAACCACCATTGTCTCTTGGAATTTGATACGGATGCACTACAGCATTCCAAGGGTCCATCCCAGCTCCTTGTCATTCCTTCCAAAAATATTGCTTTCTGTGTCTAAACCCAAATAGTTATGTATGTTTTCCTTTGCCCTTCCTTCCTAAACGTGTATTGAACACGTTTTCTGTTTTGAAAAAAAAAAGTAAGTAAATATGAAGGCCGACTAAACTGATCTCTGAGAGGAACAGGAAAAGGGCATGTTGGCTCCTGGATGTGTGTGTCAGTTTTTACAATCCTGAGAATAATTCTAAAGTGCAGCCAGAATTGAGCCACAGTTGCAGCAGAATCACTATGTAAAGTGATATGTGAAAATATAATGGGAATCACTGCATTTCAGGAACATGCTAGACCATTCCTGAACATTTTCCAGAAATTCTGACCCCTAAGCCTACCTTCTTAATTGGACTGTTTCTTTATCTATCACTATAATTCTTATATCTTTTCAAATTCAACTAAACACACTTCCTCTATAAGGCAATCATGTTTGGTTGTAACTCCCCTGTGTCTTCGGCCATTATTCTTTCTTTCACTATCATTCCTTTGAACAAAATTATTGTTTTTCTTTTCCATTTATAAAATATAATTTAAATGATTGCTGCCAAATGACATAAAATTAGAACTATATAGTAGATGAATGGAAGTATAGCCTAAAAACTCAAAAGCACTGGTTATAAACTGTGTTTTTAAAAATCAAAGGTACACACACACTGTTCTTTCTGCATCCCTCTTGTACAGGGCCTTAAGTACTGTCAAGCTGCTCAAGATTAGTCTAATCATCACCCCCTTAGTCTCCCCAGGCCCTCAATACAACACCTAATTTGTTAAAATGTAATCTCAATTATATCTATGAAATATATCTTTAATCTGTCTACCTGTCTCCAAGGAGGACATCTTAAATATATTGAAACCAAAACAGTTATCTACAGGCAACTGAAAGTTAAAAACTTCCCCCAGTTAAATAAAATAATCAGAGCTACACATAGTACAAGTAGATAATTTTTACAATCGCCTTTTCTGGAGGCTGCTGCAATATACATGTTTGCCAGTCTCTTAATTTTCTTGGCCTAGGAATATCCTAAAAATATTTGATTTTGTTTGGGATGCTCCTTGAATCATGTCAAGTGGTTGCTATGGAACAGATGCTCCAACTGCAGTCTTACTAGAGACGGTCCCCGAGGAAGGTGTATGCATGTCCTGTAGTAGGTGTGACAGAAAAACCTACAGTTCTCCAAAGGTTACATTCTTTCCACTGGGCTACACTTAATACTCTATACATGCATTAGCAAGGAATGCAAATAAATTGATACTTGCCCCCTGAACAAAACTTAAACTCAATGGACCAAAGTTTAGGATTCAGAATAAACAGCTCTTAATCATCTGAACTGATGTTCACATATGTAAATTTGATTAATAGAAAATGCTTAATAGATGTTCCTAATACAAATATTCATCTGTGTATTATTGTTGATACTCAATCTTATTTCATATAACTCTGACCACAGTTTTACAACGTTTTGCTCCAACCACGCCCATTTCTAATTTGCTGTACGGCATTTCACTTTTTGTAATTTCCTTAAACTCTTTAGAATTTGTTACTGAATTACACCATGCCTATTACACTGTGTATATATAAATGTTTGTACAGCATTACCTCTGATATAGAAAAGAAAGTGGAAGCTGTGTTTTTCATATTTTCTGTCATACATTTTGTCTTCTCAAACTGACTTTTAATTTCATACTTTCCAGGTCCTGGTGTTCTCTAAATTACAGAAAGAAAGAAATACATTAACAAAGGATTTTCTTTCTGCAACATCTAAGGAAAGACTGGGTAATTCTTATAGATCATTATCAAAGCCTTCCATTAAGAAGAAAGCAACAGGAAAAGAACTTATCCTAACGAAGGAAGGAAAAAAGAAAAAGAAGAAGAAAAGAAAAAAAAAAAAAAAAAGGATTGGTCAAAGCGTCTTTTAGCCCTGAAAGCAGACTGCCTGAAGCTTTGCTGCCCTCTGCTGATAAACTGCAAGAAATAGTCCTAGCTACATGGCTAACTATTAAAGAAAAGAAAGTTTCGATTATCCTTTCATTTCATGGTATAGAGCTGGCCTTATCTGGCTTGGCATGGAGCTCAGTGGGGGAGCTCCAGCTTATCATGTGCACGGGTTTAAGCACACACCAACAACAGCCAGAAAAACATCACTGTCCTCCCAAACTTCTCAAAACTTCTTTAACTAATCAATAGGCAAACAAATAGGCAACGGGAAATGTTTTCTTTTAAACACAAAGGTTTAGTGTAAATAAACTAAGCTTTTGCTTGAATACTTTCCAACAAATAAATATTAATCTTATTAATCACAGGACTGGGTTTATTATTATTATAGTAAAGTAAGATAAAATAGATAAATTATAGAAGATAGCTAGATAGATAGATAGATAGATAGATAGATAGATAGATAGATAGATAGATAGATAGTAATAGAAACAGTTTGTTATTGGTACAAACACAGACATGTTGATCAATGGAATTGAACTGAAGACCCAGACATAAATCCACACACGTACGGACACCTAATTTCTGATAATGAAGCCAGAAATACATATGGGGAAAAAGACATCATCTTCAAATAAATGAACCTAGTCAAAGTAAGATGTAGTTTGACCACATGTAGAAGAATGCAAATAGATTGATACTTGCCCCCTGAACAAAACTTAACTCAATGGACCAAATGGATCAAAGACCTCAACATAAAACCAGATACACTTGGGAAAGCAGAGACAAGCCAATCACTGTGAGTTTGAGGCTAGCCTGGTCTACAAAGCCAAGGCTACACAGAGAAACCATGTCTAGAAACAAAAAGAAAAAAAAATCAGATACACTGAACCTGATAGAAGAGAAAAAGGGAAAAAGCTTTGAATTCACTGGTACAGGAGAAAACTGCCTGAACAGAACACCAACAGCTCAGGCACTAAGATTAATAATTAATAAATGGAACATCATGAAACTGAGAATCTTGACGACAAAGGACACCATCATTCAAACAAAGCAGCAGCCTACAGAATAGAAAAATACTTTTATCAACTACACATCCAATAGAGGACTAATATCTAAAATATGTAAAGAAATAAAAGTTAACTGGGCATCAAAGGAAACCAAACATTAAAAACTGGGGAACAGATCTAAACAGAATTCTAAAGTGAAAATGTGTATGGCTGATGGATACATAAAGAAATGTTCAAAGTCCTTAGTCATCAGGGAAATTCATATCAAAACTACTTTGGGATTTCATGTCAAACCCATCATAATCTCCAGGATCAATAAGACAAATGAGAGCTCTTGGTGGTGAGGATGTGGACAAAGGGAACACTAACCCATTGATAGTGGAATAAAAACTTTTACAGGCACTGAGAAAATCAATGGGATGGCTCCTCAAGAAGATGGGAAATAATCTACCTCAAAATCTAGCTATACCACTCTTGAACACATACCCAAAAATGCTTCATCCTACTACAGAGGCATTTTCTCAGCTGCCTTCTATGCTGCTCTATACATAATAACCAGAAATATAAAATAGCTTAGAGAACAATCAACAGGTGAGTAAACAGAGAAATGTGGTGCATTTACACAATGGGATACTACTCAGCCATTTAAAAAATAGTAATTCACAGGTAAATTGATGGAGCTAGAAAAAAAATCTTATGTGAGGGAACCCAGACCCAGAAAGACAAATATGGTATGTATGGGGATGTTAGCTGCTAAGTCATTGATAAGCAAGATGCAATCCACAGAAGTTAGGTATAGAGTAAGGGACTAATGAGAAGAACAGATTTCCTCTAGGAAGGAGAAATAGAATAGATAATTATGGGTAAACAAAGTGGGGACTAGAATGGGAGGAACAAATGGGGAATCAAAGGAGAAAGAGGGGTGAGGGAGTAAACATGAAAATTATGGGCTAAAATTATGGGCTATTTGGGGAGTCATATGGAAACCCACTATAGCAGAAGCTTCCAAAAATACATATCCATTCATATATGAAGGCATTCTAAATGAAATCACTAAATAATAGGAAACAGCCCCAACTGGACATCTCTTGTCAGCAAATGACGTTCCCAATGCCGGGGACTGTGCTACAGGGGCCCCATAGAAATAACAAAACAATCTAGGCTATTGCCAAAGCCATCAGTTGCTCTCCACAAACTGATGGTAAAGCCCCTCAGAAGACAAAACCTACACAACTCACTGAACATGAAGAATCAGGCTGGGGCCTACCCAGAGCTTTCACTCCTACATGCTAGTGTCTTTGGTACAGTAGGGTATTCTGCATGCTACCAAAGGAGAAAGGTAAACAAAACCCAGCTACAAACCCTTCACTCTATAATGAAAACCTGCATGTACCTTGCACTAGTACAATAGTCATACAAAGCTTCTGAGAGGAAACAATATCTGATTTGATTTAAGGCCTACTGCATGAGATGGAACCCACTTCTGACACTGCTCAGTTGGCCTAGAACCTGAGACTAGATCCAGAGGAAATCTAAAGATCACTGTTCTGCTAAAGAACCATAGCTAATAAAATGACTCCTAGCAACATTCTGCTGTCCTCATAAATCAGTATCTTGCTCAGCCATCATCAGAGAAGTTTGCTCCTACAGTAGATTGGAACAAATACAGAGATCCACAACCATAGAACATGTACAGTGAGATATCTTGAAACACTCCTAAATGGGATGTCATCATCAAATCCCTCCCCTCGAGACTTGGGGAGCCTTGCAGTAGAAAAGACAGAAAGATTGTAAGAGCCAGGGGGGATAGAAAACACCAAGGAGCAAACCCTTCTAAACACAGCAGGACCAACGGATGTATGAACTCACAGAGACTGTGGCAGCCAGCATAGGACCAGCCTGGGTCTAAACCAGATGGGATCCCAGCATGGAGAGAAGTGGAATAAGACCCCATCCCTAACCCAGAACCACTCATACATGAAAACTTCATTTTTTCCGGTAGAGTCTCACTCTTAAAAGCAGTCTCCACACCCAGCAGTAGATGGCCAACACAAAATGGACTCAATGGCATCTGTGGAAAATCTATGTCTCATAGTGTTTTAACAGGGCATGCTTTTCTTTAGCTTACAGTTCCTTTGTATATCTATTACAGCTTTCAGTTTTGTTGTTTTTATGGGATTGATGTGTGTGGGAACATGTACGTCTCTTTTTCTTCTGCTTGGTTGTTTTGTTGGTTGGTTAGCTGGCTGGTTGGTTGGCTGGTGGATTGATTTTGTCCTATCCCAGTTTGTTTTTTCTGTTGTTTTGTTTTTTTCTTATTTTGTTTATTATTATTCTCTATGTCTGTCTGTTTTCTAAGGAAAGAAAGAACGGGTGTGGTTGGTTGGTTGGTTGGTTGGTTGGTTGGTTGGTTGGTTGGTTGG